GAAAAAAGTAAGTATTAAATTTATTATAATTTCTCATAAGAAAGACTTTGGAGTTGGATAACTTACAAGAGGTAGTATAGGAATATTCACCTGTTATCTATTGATGTAGTCCTGACTCACCTTCCGTAGACAAATCTTGCTGAGAAATTTTCAGATTTTTGAGACATTGAATTCTCACCAACGTTTGCGTTAAAGAGATTGGGAAGAGAGATTTAAGAAATTTAGAAGAACTCAGGAAATGCATTAAGTGAATGGATTGGTTGAACGGCTTCGCGTATGAAATTAAACAAATGGCTACAAAACCTTCACCTTCATAATTTTCTAATCACTCGCGTCTTTTCCTCCACAAGGGTTTTTTGGCTTAGAAATAGACCCACCACAATTATTATGATGGCCACCGACGATAGTGCAATATTCTTGTGTCGTTTTGTTCCTTACCGTGTATGTTAGGTTTGAACTAGGGACTGGTCTAAAATATTCATAGAATTACATTTGCGCATGCCCGTCGTTTGACACTATATAGGGTTGCAAACATACGTGGATTATTTTCTTAAGAAAATTATTTTCAAGTAAAATTTCATTCTACACTTACTTTTTATCATATCATCAACTTCTAATTTTAAAATGTTAAAAATATTAAGAAATATGTTACTAATTTTAAAATCTGTTTTATTTTACATAAACGACAAAATCTTGGAGATGCATATATGGATAATGCATCTATATATTCGGCGTAGAACTTTGACTGCCGTTGAAGAGGTCGCAGTGTATGTACACGTGATCCTTGTTGGTACGTACGTTGTATATCTTTCCAGTTTCCACTACACTGAACCAGAGGTCATCAGTTTGTCTCATCATGTTCTATCAATTTTTCTCCGGTCATCGGCGAGCTAAATGAGAATTGCGTTTACCACAACCTTTTCAGGTTTTGTTTGGAAAGTTTGTCTTTCGAGGGAAAGATTCGAAAAGCTTATGTCCCCATAAGAATTTTTAAGATGATATGCAATTTTTTTTTTAATTTTATGGTTTTAAATTTAAAAATTTTATATTTTTAATTAATATTTTTATAGTCTTATTTTACTTTAATATACATTATATTATTTAAAATATAAATTATGAATATTTAAATTGTATAAAATTTTAAATACATGGTCGTTATAATAATAAATAAATAATTAGATTAACAACTTTTTAGTAAAAAGGTAATTAAAAATGTTGTTATTATTATATAATTGGTACTTTTATTAATTTAACTAGTTTTTGTTATGAACAATAAAATATCTAGTTTAATGATAAAAGGTTAAAATCTAGCCATTTCATGCAATAGAAGTGATAAAAATTTTGGCACATTTTTGTTATGGTGGAGTCTAGTCAAACCCATCAGCAAAATGAAAATGAAAATGAATGATTAGGCACAAAAACGGTAACACGTCATAAATAAGAAAAACAAATCTGAGTCAAATCATAGTTTTGCCCCTCTAGTTTTTATATATAGTGTAGTGATGAGTTGTTATTGGCATTAAGCGTGGAGCGTTTAATAATTTTCACTTTAGGAACTATTTGCCTGGTAGTTAAACTATGAAATGTGAAGTTTGGGTGAACCAAACAATAATGCAAAGTTGGAATTTAGTTAGGCATGTCGTGGAGGAAAAATCTTAAAATATATGGCGTGCCGTCTGTTGCGGGGTGGTGCCGAGTATTTAGAAGCCGGCACCGACGAACAGTAAACGCGACATGATGTGGGTAAACTCTTGGACAATTGCTTCCGATAAGATCTCAATTGTCTCTAATTGGATGGTCCCAAAAACTTTCTATCTATAATGAAAATGGAATTAAAATTTTCATGCCTCAATCTTACACAAAAACAATGGGGAAGAATCCCTACCAACCTCCAAATCGTTGTAGACAATAAGGTGGCAAAACAAAAGGGTACTAAAATGGTTTTTCATTTGAATACGTGGATGCACCTTCAATGGTGGGGTCTTGGGCCCAAACAAAAATTATTTGCTTACCAAATTCAATGGAAATAATAGAAAAGAAAGGAAAAGTTATTATGCAATAGATTAAGCAAGTATGTAAAAGTTGAATTTGAAAAAGGCCTGTGTAGTTGTGGCTTGGCAACAAATCAAAGCAGCCATCATAATCAGCGATCAATTACAAAACCTTGAGCTTTTTTCAATAGGGGGAAGTTGTTACCAGCTATTATGATAACAAAGTCTCTTCAATTCTTACACTCCGGAGAAAGATACAAATATACAATCATATTTGATGGTTTGGCCAACGTGTCCATTATATCAATTAAATATTGTTCCCACAACTAACCCATGCTTTATTTTCAAATGGATGACACTAGTATTTTTTCACAACAAAATGAAAAGGATCACTTTACTATGCTAACAAATTAATTGTTTTCCGTGATTACTAGAATCATATATTTGCTTTTCAATGCTTTATTTTTGGTCAAAAAGTGCTGTCTCCCTACTTACACGTAAACCTATTTGTAATTTTATATATTAATATCATAATATATATGGATATGTATTAAGTAAAACTATGCGAGAGAAACAATTAACCAAAGATTTATCAAATGCAAAGATTTATGTAATAGTTCGCATCTAGTCCCATCATGCTTCTACTTTACGTTTCATATCGAGTATCTATGACTGTTTCTAAGTCTGTGTGTATATAATGTACCTACCAAGCGTATACCATACATTAGTTTAATTTATTTTAATCATGTTAACAAAGACTGATAAAGAGGGATGATGGGTCAAAAACACAAGTTCTGTATTAGAGTGACTAAAATTAAAAATTGTAGGGCCCGCAACTCATCCCTCCAAATTTAGTCTGAAGTAAAGAAACCGTGGCAGCTATATAATTTATTTGACTTTTTAAGGGACAAGCGTGTGATTTTTGTGTTCTTTAATGCCTGTAAATTTATGGTAATTAAAGTAAGCCTCTTTTCATTTCAACGTCTAAAAGGAAACCACATAATGTAATTTAATTCTTTAAAACATTATATTTTATAAAACATAATGAAAGCTGTGGTTGTTTTAGGATTCGAAACTTGTGATCCAGGTGGAGGAGATTAGCATATCAATAAAGCTAATATAAATTTTCAACTGCAATGAGGAACTTAAATTTCCCGGTTTTTGGATATAAGAGACCAACTAACAAACTAATTAAGTCACAGCATTCTTTGGGGAATATTCTTGGGTGGATGGAATGTCATATTAATCTATCAATATAATTTTTTTAATGTGCACTAAGAATATCTTTCAGTCAACAATTGAAGACTATTCTCTTTTGAGATAAAGGAATTAACCAAATAAATACAATTTTTCTTTTAAAAATTTCTTATAAGCATGCTTAAGAGACCTAATAATCAATTGTGGTCGACTTCATTGATAATCTATCAACAAATTTAAATATTTTTTAAAAATATTTTATTTATAAATTCTTACATTATATTATATTTTTTTTAAAAAAAGTAAGATAAAGGAATGGTACTTCTTTTAAAGTAAAAAACCTTCAAACTTAAAAATATTTATAAAAGACTAATATCTAGTTTATCCAAAACCAAAAAAAGAAAGAGTGCGGGTTCAAATATATAATCAAATATTATACACTACCTTACTTCATTCAACCAACTCATAAGAATTTGTAAATTGAAGTCTTTATTATTAAGCCAAAAGCATTTTTCATTATACTTTTTCTGCTTATAATTAATAGTAACTTTATCATTATTTAGTAATTTTTATGTTTTTAGTCTCAAATAATTAATTTTTCAAAAGATTTATTTTTATGTTAGGATTTTTTTTAAAATATCAATGTTATTTATACTTTTAAATTTTTTTAAATTGTACTCTTTTACCTACTAAATTTTAATGAAGTAGAATATTTATTTTAATCATTTATGCATATTTATCTTATGATTTTTAATGTATATTTTCATTTTTTATATAAATTAAAAAAAACCCGCACGCAATACATGTTAATTTATTTTTATAAAAGAAGGTGCTGAGAAGGGTGGGTGCTGCTGCACTTGGTAAGACGATTATCCCCTGTTTATATTTTTATGTACCCTTTAAAGAAAAGGTCAAATATGCTTCTATTAATTTGGTCTTAATGATAGCGGTATTAGACTCTATTATTGTGATCATTAAACCTTTCCATTTAAATTAGAATTAAATTAATATAGGCTGGGCCCTTGAGATGGATTGAGGGTACATTTTAACCGATTGATTCTTACAGATAATACAAGACCAAAACTCTAGAAATAATAAATTTCTATATTAGTTACATCACAGACACATACTTACGTGGTGATTAAAAGTTATCTGCTTTGTGTTAAAATAGACAGGTAATGGATCGCCATGACCAATCATAGCATTTAAATCCAGCAGACCCAATACTGTGAGCTGTGAATTTTTAAGTTCTGTTTTACTTCTCGTGTGTCCGATTGGATTTAGATTCTTTTTCCAAATACCTTTTTAAAAACACATGTTAAAATCTTAGAACCGCTAAAAGAATGAACATTTGTTATAAACTCAAAACATTAAATAAAAGTATATATTCTTAATATTTTAAAAAATATTAATATTATTTATTTTAACAATTATTGTTATTTTCTAATTCCTTAAACAAATAAAAAATTATTAAAAATATTTATTATATACAAATATAAATATTTAATTTTTACTTTTTAAAGTGCATGATAAACAGATACAATAAAAAAATTCTTTTAATTGATAATATTAAAGGAAAATACACTAGTTTATCGCATAGTTAATAATCATAATAATATATTACAATGTATACTAGTTAAAAAAAAAACTACCTATTCTATGTCTAAATACAAATGTGTCATTATTTTCATCAGCACGTCAATGTAATGGTAACCACTTCCACAGAAAAAAAGTGTTTTTCTTTGACAGAAGATAATATCAAAATTGGGATTTGGAATGCTACAAAATAATGCGCGTGTTAGTATTCTTTTGAATGAATCCTGGACATTTGGCAGTCTCTCTCCAGAGCCTCAAAAAGAGATCAAGTAGGTTTCTTGGAAGCCACTCTTGAAGGCTTGGAGCTTTATATATGTGTACACACACAAGTGACACAATATCCTGTACAGGCCAGGAGAACAAGCGTCTTACATAAACTCCATCATATTCAGGCCACCATTTGATCATTTCACTTTCATAACTTCTCAGTTTCTTCTCTTTCTTTATTGGTTCAGTTTTTATTTTTTGTTTTTTATCCTTTTTCTCTCTATCTTAGTACATTCTGTTCGTGTCATAGTGACTTGGACATATACACACACTTATTCTATCTCCTTTGCTAACACATATCTTAAAGGAGGGTCATTCTCAAACACTCATGGCAGGGAAAGCCAAGAACAAGATGAAACTTGAATTGGGTTGCGGTTTGATGGGGAGAATTTTGCAACTCAAAAGCAATAGGCTGAGAAAATCCTCTGTTCATTCACTACCCGTGAAGCCTAGCAACACTGCACAACACAAGGATCATGCCAAAAACGAATCCAAGAGGCCTCAAAACCATGGATCAAAGGTTCCAAAAGATAGCTTCACTGAGACTGTTCCTACACCGAAAGTGGAACAGAATCCAGCCACAAAGAGTCCCTCTAATCATCGTGCAACTTCTGCGTATCGAAACATCCAAAATGGAAGACCTTCAGATGCTGCAAGAAGCTCAGTTCAACAGAACCACGATTCCAATGATGAGTGTAAACAACAGAAAGAGCATGCTGGTAATTCTCTGGAACTTGCTATTGCTAGGATAAGTACAAGCACTAGTCATCAGCAAAACAACGAGACCAAATCCCCAGCCAAAGATTTAAGTGCCTTGAAACTCACTGGGAATTTGATTGTGAATAGCAGCCCAAGAACTAGTGTTACCAAGAATAAAGAGTTGAATTCTATGTCCAGTTCTTACAATAATAATACAAACAAAGGTTTAATGGGGAATATCTTGAGGAAGAGCGATGATGAGTTTGCACAATTTCGAAGTCCAAGGAACAGCAGAGTGGACCCTGAGGTGTTCAAATCCATGGGGAATGAAGCATACAAGCAGGGAAGATTTGGGGAAGCTTTGGCTTTGTATGATCGAGCCATTGATCTTGACTCCAATAAGGCAACGTATCATTGCAATAAGAGTGCAGCTTTAATAGGCTTGCGACGCTTTCCGCAGGCAATAGTTGAGTGTGAGGAAGCAATCAGATTGGAACCTTCGTATGGCAGAGCCCACACTCGTTTGGCAACCATATATTTCAGGTACTCTACAATAATTATTATGCATGTAAAAATATGTTTCATTCAATTTGCCATGGACTCCTGGGAAATTAAACAGGGATTGAATTTTGGGTTGTGTTTTGGTGTCTATTTTGTTATTACTTTTTCTTATAGAATTTAAAATTTTATTGCAGATTGGGAGAAGTAGAAAAGGCAATGAATTGCAATCAAACAGCCCCATATGTAGATTCCATCCTCGCTTACCAAGCTCAGACTCTTCAAAATCACCTCAACAAATGCAATGAAGCTCGGAAAGTCAATGATTGGAAATCTATATTGAAAGAAACCCAGGCTGCAATTTGCTTAGGTGCTGATTCAGCTCCACAGGTTAGTTTTCTTGGTCTAATGTTTTATTTTTTGAGATTTCTTTCCTCTGTCTTTTTTTTTTCTGGGGGTACTCCTACATATCATTTGATTTTGTATCCAATTTCATCCTATAGTCACTCTATGGCCAATAAGGCTCCCAAATGGGTATTCGAGAATTCCACTTTATTTTATATAAGTTCCATAATGATTGATCGATAAGCGGCTTTGGTATGTCTTATGCTGATTAAAAAATGGTTGTTACCAGGTCTATGCTTTACAAACTGAAGCCTTGCTGAAGCTCCTAAGACATCAAGAGGCATACGCAACCTACGAGAAAACGCCAAAACTTGACCTTGATAGTTGTAACAAATTACTTGGCCTGGCTCGTAGTGCTTACCTATTGATGATAGGCGCACAAGTTTACTTGGCAGCCGGCAGGTTGGTTAAAATGCTTTATTTTGATTTTTAAACAAATTATTCAAACATGATCTCTGTGGGTGGCGTGATATGTAAAGAAAAACACCAATATAGAAAGGACAAAATTCTCGAAGAAGATTAATGCTGAGTGTTATCAACCAGGTTTCCCAATTTTTTTCCACCCAGTCTTTTAACAGAAAGGTGGCATGACATATTAATTAGTTTTATAAGTTTGACTATGTTAATGATGCATACTAATACAAACAAATTATAGTCGTGTAACTCGACCAAATTCTATATTATACACTGAATGACCGAAGAAAAATACTATCTTCACTCTACTGTTGCTCTCTTTATACTAAAAGATGAAAGATGATACACTATGTGAGTCTAATTTGGAATGATCCCAAGTAGCTTTGAATCTTTTTGTGCTGACAGGTTTGAGGATGCTGTGACAGCATCTCAGCATGCAGCTAAATTTGATCCAAGCAGCAACGAGGTGAATGCAATGGTAAGGAGAGCCAGAGCAGCTGCATCAGCTAGAATGAGCGGTAACCTACTTTTCAAGGCATCAAAATTCATGGAAGCATGTGCTGTATACAACGAAGGACTAGAGCATGATCCATACAACCCAATTCTGCTATGCAACAGGGCAGCATGTCGATCTAAGCTAGGCCAATTTGAAAAAGCAATTGAAGATTGTAATGTAGCCCTTATAGTTCAGCCTAGTTATAGCAAGGCAAGGTTGAGGAGGGCAGATTGTAATGCCAAGGTGCTTTAGTTTCTATTTCAATATTAACTTCTGCTGCATAGTTGATTGCAGTTAATAACCTTTTCCTTGTTTTCCTTTTTTTTTTAAAACATATTAGTTGGAACGATGGGAAGCTGCCATTCAAGACTACGAAATGCTAATAAGAGAAAAGCCAGTGGATGAGGAGGTGGCCAGGGCTCTGTTTGAGGCCCAGCTCCAACTCAAGATGCTACGTGGTGAAGATATTAAGGACTTGAAATTTGGTGCAAATTTGGTTTTCATCTCAAGCAATGATCGGTTTAGACATTATGTAACTTCACCCGGTAAGTCATCTTTGGCTGTGTTTTTATGCAATTAAAAAATTAGGCATTGAAATAACAAATACTTACCATTTGTGGGCAATTGAACAGGGATGTCTGTGGTGCTCTTTTGCAACAAGGCAACCCACAAGCAAGTATTGCTTGTTTTGGAGCAAACCTGCAAGAGATACCCATCAGTTAATTTTCTTAAGGTTGGTTAATTTTAAATTTTTTAGACTCTGCAGCATGTGGGGTTGTCCATCTTTATGTAGGAACAAAGAAAATTTCTACATTTCAAATGCTTCATTGCTCCTACCTTGTGACTTTAAAAAAATGTTAACAATCTTACAATTGAAATTTACAATTTTAGGTGGAGATTGAAGACCACCCTTACTTGGCAAAATCAGAAGGTGTGAACTCCATTCCAGCCTTCAAAATATACAAGAATGGATCAAGGGTTAAAGAAATTCCAGGCAACAACCACGAATTGTTAGAAAGATCAGTTATATTATATAGCAGCTGAAGAAAGTCACACTTCTTCAAATGACAACATATAGACTGCAGGATGAGGAAGGTTTGAATTTTCAGAAGGGATGTGAAAGGAAGACGTCCAAAATAAATCAAGCTAATTGTTTGTGCTTCATAAATTTGGTGACCTTGCATATAAGGCAGAGGAAACCAAAAAAGCATAGCATTGTTACAGGCCGTAGAAAAGTTTACAGGAAAAGGAATTCTTTGTGTTAGTAATTGATTCTTTTAATCCTTTGGATGTTTGAGCAGTCTTTAATTCTTCATATGCAGTGAATATTGATCTTGAAACCTGAACAACTTCAGCTTTTTTCATTGATAAGTTATATATTCTTTACAGGAGTGGTTTTTTACCAGTGGACATTCTAAATTATTATAGCAATGTAGTAGAAGGAACCCAATTGTTGTACATTACAGAAACTTTGTGGAATACGTGAACATTTGTTATGCCCTTGTTAGTTGTGGTGAGAGTTTCTATTATTTTAAATTTTATCTTTCAAGCTTGATGGTTCAAACACACATTGTTTTCCGCTTAAGCAGGCCAGAGTATGTTTAGATTAGAAATAGGTCCCTTTCATCCTCTGTTTCGAAGCCATTTGAGTAATCTCACGAAATTTTTTCATAACATTTTTATCATTATTATTACATTACTTATTTTATTTTACAATTCTTTTACCAATCTTCTTCTTTGTTGTAAAATTTATTGTAAGATTATGAAGTGCAAATCGCATTACTTATTTGTTTGTTCCACTTTGGTTGCTGTGATGCGCTCATTGCAAAATAGCTTGCTATTCTTGGATCTCAGAACTAATGTAGCATGTTATGATTTTCGTTGCTGCAGCCAAACTCCCGGTTAAGTAAAAGAAACATCGTCATAAAAAATATTTTAATGCTTGATTGTATTGTTTTTAGGTAAAAAAAAATTGTTTCTAAAATTAAATATAATTCATAAAAGACATATCTTTATATCAACTTAAAATTTTCATACTATTTCTTTTACAAGTTTAATTTTGAAAATTTTTAATATCTTATTTTTAATACATTCACTTTGCAGTAAATGATGGATTGTTTAGAAAGTTAAGACAAAATCTGGGAAAAAATGAAGCAGAGTCAAAGTAAATGATGAGGGTGGGTGGGATGAAAGATTGACCACACGGATTGCGCCGTGGATAGTAAACTCGTTGGCGTATGATTATTATAATGGTTTCATGTTAAGGCCTCGTGTGTGGGAGTAATAAGTAAACATTTGGCCCACTCTGTTAATAGATACAAGCGTGTGACAGTACCATTCATTTGTTTTTAAAGAAATAGAAGTGAAAAATATAGAAATAAAAGTAAAAGTGTTGTAATAATTTTATAATTATTTTTTTATTATATGATCTATTTTTCTTAATTTTATTTTTTAAATTATAATAGAAGAGATATATACTTTTTGTACAAATAGTGTTTTTCAAAGTAAAATATTACTCCGTTGGATGAGAAAAAAAGAAAAAAAATGAAAGAGATTATGTGCGTGCGTTTTACTATAAAAACACTCTTCAAAATAAGAAAGATTTGTGTGCAGCGTGTTGAGCTTTAATTGTTATTTGTGGGTGGAGGTTTTACTGTGAAGAGTGTTTATAAGTTTATTTGGATAAAAAAATTATTTAATCCAATTCATATATAGAGTTAGATTGAATTTTTTTAACATATAACTTATATCAACCTAACTCAATCACGAACAAGTTAAAGATTAAGTAATTGAACCTATACTTAAAAATAAGAATAATTATAATCTATAAAATTAAACAACTACTAAATTTAGTAGAAACAATATCAATGTTTGTATAAATTTTTTATTTATACTCAAATAATAAATTATTTATTAATAATCACGTTTAAAAGTACATATTAAAATATATTTTTCTATAATATTTTTCTATAATATTTTAATATTATATATATATATATATATATATATATATATATAAAATCAAGTCAAATTCATTAAGTTATGAAAAGTAGAGTATATAACTTTGAAATCCAATTATATTTTATCATTGACTCTTGTTGATTTTAGTTTGGTTTAAGATGAGTTGATCAGGCGTATGCGGCCCATAAACACATTTATATATGATTAATTTTTTAATTATTTTCTTAGTTTTTGTATGGAGATATTCAGTGTTTTTATTTTTATAGGTAATTAAATATGTCTTTACTTATACTTTTTATTTATGTACTTTTGTTTCTCATTTAAATAAATAGAGGGGTGTTTTCTATTTTTTGTTATTTTTATTAATCTAAATAACTTATCCTTAAGTATTATATATATATATATATATATAATTTCTTCTATTTTATTTTTCATCCAAGTACAGCATAAACGAGTGTTTAATTTTAAATTTCTGAATGCAGATGATTATCTTTTCAATATTCGTTCTATTTGCTGAGATGTTCTGAATAAATTTATCTGTACCATTGGGATCTTAGACCACCTTTGAGCCTAAGGTCCAATGACGTAATCCAAAGTTGAGTTAAAACTGATGAAATAGTTTTATTGGGCGGAAAAAAAATCAAACAATCCTATATTAGTGAGACAGTTACATCTGGCGACTGGAGAAGAAGCATTAGAATATTCAATGAAAACATGAAGTGCAAGGCAGCCGCAAGCAGCAAGCTAGGTAATAATAATAATATTGCAAGTTCACAAAAGCTGTGATTCCATCCTGCCATTGTAGTAGTGACTAGACAGCAATCACAGTAACTTCAGGCATGATCTAGGATTTTGATGCAAAGGAAAAGACAAAAATGTTGAGTGGATGGGAGAGACAAATATACCATGCCAACTTGCATACATGACAATGGTTGGAAGGTTACTGAGAAGTCCAATAGTTAAACTCTTGTGATTGACCCCCGAGCCAGGAGCGTGAGCCAGGGGATTTGTGCTTATGGGAATCACTTTGATGCTCCTTTCAGGTTTCAGCATTTAAGAGTAGTCTCAAATGTCCAACAAACATCCTTCTGCTGACAGCTTGAGGGTGTCCAAACTGAGAAAGGGGCCAATAGAACCTCCCTGCCTCACAATTAAAAGCATCACAACAACATTCATAACTGGGGCCACCCCACTCCTGAATCAGTAGTCCCTTTTTTACTTTTTGTTTTTAGGTAGCCACATTCAACACACAAAAGTTGAAGCAGTTTCTGCAATTAAACTTTTAATAAGTGCTTGCTAAGGAGTAGTGTTTCTCCCAGTATCAAAAAAGATAAAAAAAAAAAAAGAGAGGAGAGAGACGTGTTTAGGATAAGAGGATGATGTCATGCAAATAAAAATAAAATGCTGTGAGAACCAATATTACCCGTATTTAAGCCATGTTGTCTTAATTTCATTTTGAAAATAATTTTAATGCTACACGTTCAGTGTTGAATGGTAGATAAAGAAATGACTTAAATCCCAGGCTGTCTAATCGAAAATCGACATAAAAAATTGGACCTCCAAAGATGTCACAGCTACAGTGGTCATTGGAGATTGTTTTGACTCAGTTCAAAATAATTTCTGCTTGTTGAGATGTCTACACGGACAGTGTAATATGTGGACTTGTTTTCCTCTAAGCTTCTTAAACAGTTGATTCATCGGTTTGAATAGCCCAGAAAATTTTAGCTAGTAACCAGATCTTAGTTATGGATTCAAATCTTTTTAGTTTTTATTTATCTGTCCCTTTCTGTCCTATATTATCTTAACAAAATTATTAGAAACTAAAGGCAAAAACAAATTAGTTAACAATATTTTATTATTGATTGTTTTAAAAAATTATAAAAATTACACTACATTAAAAATAACATAATAACTTCATTAAATTTATTGTATATTATAAAGACAGGTTACGGATATGGGTTGAATCCCATGGGCATCAGAAATTTTTGGATGGTTGATCGCGGCCATTCATATCTTGCTTTTTTTTTAAAAATACGTGTTGTGTTGACATAGAATTATAACTCCCGATTCGTGCCAAACAATTGAAGTGTCTTTTAAGTCTTTCCGGGCTAATCTTATAGAGGAGGATCCTCTATAGTCCAGTGCCCTAGTTTTGCAAACTTGCTAAACGAAAAATCATACCCAACCTCCATAAATTCTCAAACAATTGTGCTAAAACCACGAACTATTGCTCACGTACTGAATAGCTTTCGAATTATTCGTGTTTGTTTTAGATTTTACAGTAGGTGGGAAATGGACCTTGAGCATATAAGTAATGCAAACTCGTCTCTTGAAAAGAATAGAAGTTAAAAGCCCTAACAAAAAGAGAGAGTTTTGGAATTTGATCTGCGTACAACGTCACTAGTTATTGCTGTTTATGTCTATTTTTCTTATTTTTGTCTGTCCTCGAACTTGGGTGTGCGTTGGCTTAGCTGTTGGTGATTGTTTTCCTCGGTTCAAGGCTGTAATCCCTTTGATATCATGAGTAATACTAGGTTGGCTTAATTATGTTTTATACCTCCTAAAATTTATTATTTTTTTTATTTTTATATTTTAAAAAATTATTAATTTTGGTTTTTCTTACTGATTTGACTTTATAAAAAAGTAATATGTAATAATATCCGAATTAATCACATTATTATTTAATAATAATGTTGCATTAAAATTGATAAATTTTAAAAATATATGGACTAAAACAATTTTTTTTTAGGAATCAAAATAAATTAGAGTATTTTGAGTGGGCAAAAACATATTTAATCACCAATTAATTTTACACATTTTTTACAATATTTTTTTAATTATTTTTATCTCTTTTTATTGCACTACATTTTTTTACTATAAAATAAAATTTACTAATTTTTTTTAGCCTCAGAAAGTGATATGACTAACTGATAAATTCTGCTAATTTTTTTTTGTTCCATTAGTGAGAAAGGCACGTATTACTTTTTCTTTTTAATCTCTAGGTCTACTCACTCGTTAACCTGTCCTAAACACAGGTAAGTTGGCATTTTTTTTTATCAAGGATAAAAATATGTTAAATCATTTATAAAAAAATTCATAAATAATAAGTAGTGATAGATTTATAATGAAAATAGAAGAAGAAAAAAAAAAAACAAACAGAATTTCGAGCTTAAAATACATGACTAAGAGGTATTTATTAGTTGACACAAGATATAGTCATTCTAATAATTTTTATGGGTGTTTTATTTAAATCTGTCTTGTTTCACTATTCTAACTTGACTTAAGATTAATTTGATGAGTTAAAAATTAGATTCAACGTGTTCGATTGATATTTTGTATTATCCTAACATGCTCAACGCATCTTATTATTTTAAAATTTGATACTTATGTGTTAATGATATAATATTTTAACTCAATTCACAATGTTTATATAATATAGTATAATATATGTTGATATTATTTTTTAAAATTATTTATTGTAAAATATATCTTAATTTTATTATTATATTTATTTTTTCATGATCGTAATTATAATATTAAAATTGATACAATTTGTTGACTTATTAAATTGATTTAATCTTGCAATCTTAACTGTGGTGGAGTGAAATTTAAATAATTGACCCAATTTACATTTTATATCCAAGTAAAAAATAAATTAAACCCGCTACAATCCAAAGCATAAACACTCGTATCAATTTTGATTCAATCTTAACATCCAAACCAGGCCACAGAGAAAAAGCTGACGGGCACCAAAGTTCAAAGTCAAAGTGAGAAACGAACTGCAATTCAAATATTTAAGCACAAAAATTAGAAAATATATAAAATTGTATACTCTGTAACTAAGAAAAATAAAATTACATATTACTTTAAGAAATAAGTAAGAATCTACAGAACAAATTCTTACAGGTACACGCGAGAAAAATTTTCCCGGGTACTTATAATAAGAAATTAAACTGTACAGATCAACGAAATAAATGAAAAAAAAAACGGACACTGGAATTTTAACATTAGATTTGGCAGTTGTGAAACCAAAAATTATAAGAAAAGCAACAGAGTACCGAGTAATGATGGGTGATGAAATGATCATCTTTTCCAACTTCGACTCCTAGACATGGGATCGCTCATCCCACCAACAATCCATGTCTCTTTCGCAATCTCAGATGAAATCCCGTAAAAATCAGAGTCACATCGCATCACCACCACCTTCTCTTTCTTTCTCTTCTCTTCCTCTATCAATGACTTTAAACTCTGTCCTTTCTTTACCTCCACCTTCCCTTTTTCTTTTTCTTTTTCTCTGTTTTCACTCTCCCCCCCTTTCCCCTGTTTCTCATTATGATCCTCTTCACTCCCTCTCAACCAACTTTTCGCAGGAGCTGACCTACAACGCATGAGCAATAATGCGTTCGGAGGAGGGACATGCACACTCGGTCCATCAACATCATCGCCATCTCTCACATTGTCTTTCTCCTTTGTTTCTTCCCTGCGAAACCCGCCATTTTGCTCCTCTTGCAACACCATGAACCATTTCGAAAAAACCGTTTTTGATGCCTCGTTGTCGTTTTCTTCCATCCCCTCGTGGTTTTCTTCATCTTCATCAACGTCATCCTCGTCTTCTTCCTCTTCCTCTGTGGCGATGTCGGTTCCAGAGAAGGATCCGAAGCACCGAAGGTCGAACCTTATGCTTCGTAAACAAGTCAAGAACTGCATCACCTCCTTCTTGAAACCCAGAGATTCGGCCCAGTTGAAACGCTTCCTTTGTTTCTTGTCATTGTGGATTTTCTCTATCTCTTCCATCACCGATTCCCAGCTCCTGCAAGCAGTGGTTTTGGGCCTAATCTTGATTTGTCCGGCGCAAGTCACTTTTGGAGAGGTTGGTTCTGTAATTTCGGAGCCCATTGACTTGGTTTTGGCCCATAGAAGAGGACTGGCTTGGCCACCGCCACCGCCAACTTTGGAGAACGATTTCTTACGGTGGTGGTGACGTTTGTTGGGCTCTGAAGGCCTAGCTGGGCTGCAAATGGGCTTGGGCATTAGAGTAAGATGAGCTCGAGAGGGGAAACATACTAATAGATCTGCTGAGGGTGCTGCTTGTGCTTTGGTTTCTCTTCCCTTCATCATCGTGCTTGTTTAGATTTCTTCTGGGTTTATGCGTGTGTATAGTGTGTACTTGTTGCTACTGCACCTTAGATCTCGTGCTTGTTGTGTACGAATGGTGGTATTATTTTCTTGGGGTGGTTTCGGGTTTGTTTAGGTTTTAAAAAGAAAGGAGGGAAGCAATGACAGCTTATGCAGTTATACTTTAGCCTTTATCTAGGTGTTCCTACCCTTTATCTATTGGTTTGTTCAATTAGTTCTTATTGCGCTACTTTTTGGTCCCCACCCCCCCCTCCTTTTGAGTTTGGGGTCACGGGATATTTAAACAAAATTAAAATTAAACCCTGTGTTAGTGCTTAGCCAAAATATTTTAAAAAGAAAAAAAGTTAATGGAAAGCCAAAGCCCACGAGGCTTGCTTCATGATCCAATCATGGCTACACCTAGTGAGCCCATGCCAGATGTCATGCCCTCTTGTTATTTTGCTAGTACCCACGAACACACACGCCCTCAACCTCAACTACCAAACGACCCCTCCTATGGAACCCACAACTTTGTTGTGTGAGAGAGTGGGGATCATTGCTTAGAGATCAGTTTGAACTCAGTTTCCTTTTAATTGCTTCTCAAGGGACACCCCTGCTACACAATCATTCAAATTATTCGAACGAACAAACCCTTTTCAAGTCTAACTAGAAGCATTAACGCCTAGTTAATTAACAAGGATTATCGATAAAGTAATTCATAAATATTTTGTTACCCTTTTCTTTTCTTTTGTTGTCTAATTGTCTCTTACTTTTTAAACATAAGCAAATATACGTAAAACCAAAAAATGTGGATTTTAAAAAATGTTAACATGGAATGACAGTGTATAAAGTTATAGATAAATATAATGGTAAAGTGTACGAATATGATTTGACAGCAACAAGTAGGAAATTTCTTAGGTCTAGGTTGTGGAAATTTCTGAACTACCTTTATTCTCTTTCCTTTTCCTCAATCCGGAAAATGTTGCAGCCGGACTAAAGTAATTAAGGTGTGAAACGGGGATTAATTAAAGTCAGGATGCCATAATGAAGACGGTAATGCACTTGAGAGCATGGGAAAAATGGTCCCCTCCAGTCATTATGCAAGTAGCACTAGGTTTAAATTTTTATGCTTTACCAGAAAGAATCATAGAATACCCTTCTTCATCTTTATGATTTAGTTCATAGTTGTCATCATGATATGGGGATCCTCTAGACTTCTATTTACATATTCGATGTGGAACCATGTAAACAAAGCGAAAACTACAAGGCTTAGACAGGGAAAGTAACCGCTCAAATGATACATGTGTCTCACTCAACTATTTACATTTCAATTATCCAATATATTTTGAAAAGCTTGTCCTACCCTGCATGGTTTTTACATTAAATTTTAATTACAAAACTCACTCTTACTAGCAAAATGGTTAAAATTCAAATTTTGGGAGGATTGACATCAGAATTTAAAATATCCGAGAAAAATGAAAGATAAAGATAACTTTAGTGAGAAATATGAGCGACTATTTTGAAAAACCAGAGTCAACAAATCATCTCATTGTTGCTCGATTCACTCTCAGTAAATAAGTTTACGTGTCTGCACTTCTGCATTTCAATACATAACAAATTAAAGTAGTTACATTGAATAGAAAGCTATCTGAAATTATTAGGATTCTAGTTGAGACATATAATGTCCTTGGTATAACCTATAAAGTCGTAGTTAAAAGGGTTATATACAAAGCTCGCAAGCTATTAAGTCAAGATGGCCCTTCTTCTTTAAGAAGTCCAGAGAGATAAGTACATGTATGTAGTATATTACGTACTAAAATGACATTAGACTTGCAATGTAAATGTATAACTGTTCCCAATTGATTCCATTTTCTGATATCAACCGGAGATATGTGTTATGTTGGGCAGTGACGTTTTTGAAGTAATTTTCACTATCCACAGGCACAAATGTGGATTGGACTGCGAACTAGGGGTTGGCTCAATCTCTTAACATTTACTTTTCTGAATTATTGAAAATTTATCTTTATCTTTCCTTCAAATATCAGTTTTGATTTCCCAATCTCTTACACTAGATTCCAATCATAACACAAAAGACGACTTTGTCTGAACATTTTAGTTCCTTTTTAACACTGAATTACATAAAATTTTCAAATTCAAATTTTCCTAGAAAACATGACGATCGAGGGTGAAATCTTTTATTTCTACTATGGTTGCAGTGGAAGATGGGGAAGCCATCTGAATGTTCTAATTGATAATTCCTGATTAGTTAGTTGTGCACGCTTTGAGTAGTTTACCAATATATGATTAGGTGCATTTTAGCCAATGTCTTCAGTTTTTAATTTTTTAAAAACGTCTTCAATAAAGTTAGAAATATATATATCTTAAGCTATTCCAAACATATAAAAACTGAGTTCATTATGCAGGCTATTGTTAAAATAATGTCTACGCCAAGAACTGTAGGGCAACAATCGTTTTCATAGATACTTTTTACTGGGGTACATCTCTATAATCATAAATTTGATACATTTGCTATAATGATGGCCCCATGATCCATTTACTTATTCTATCATTCCTTTAGGAAAAGTAAGATGCTTCGTATTTGGGCCATAATGCCACTTTGCAATTTGAAGGAAGAGCTCGGTGGAAGGCTGCTTAAAGATTTCAATGAGTTGGGGTTCGGTGGATAATGGATGTCAACAAACTACAAATAAAAAATATATATTATTTATCAACGAAAATTTATATTAAGCATTATAAGTGTTTTTGGTTAGCTAGTGTAACCTTTATTAAATAAAATATATATATTATATATATACACACCCTTATAGAATTATTTGTTACTCTATTAAGATGATATATTACATTGTTATTATATTAGTATAAACTCGTAAAATAAATTGTAACATTTGGATACTTGTTATCAAATAACTTATAATTCAATTTAGACTTGACTTGCATGTTCAAGATTCCGGAGTGATAACACTGCTGGCCACATAAAATAGAAAAAATATATTTTTACAACTTTTTGTTACAATTAGAAGGGAGGTATGAGAGAAAGAGATGATAAAGTAGGATAAAATAGACGAAGTTATAAAAAAGATTAGAAAAAGTATAATTGGAAATAATGTAGTTCATTTCAAACAAATCTTGAACGATTGAAGGTTTGAAGTGTTTCATGTTTTGGGTTTTTAGGGGTAATTTTTTTATTTGGTCAACAGGGTAAAAATTATTATTATTTAAAATATATTGACAGCTTGGGCCTGAATGAATCCTGCACAACTCTTTTTTTTAGACCTCTTACTCTATGCATACAAACTGTTCAATCCCTCTTTCGCCAAAAACATAATAAACTCTTTTTGTTCCTAGGCCTGGTAACGTACTGCCGGGAAACGCTTTATTCTAAACACCTTGTAAATTGTAAACTTGACAAAAATATAAAATAAAATAAACTTGTTTTTTTGTCAGAAGAAACTTGTTGAATGAAAATAAAAAATAAAAGCCCAGGCCTATGGCCCATTGGTTCTGCAAGTTGAAATTGACCAAAAAGAATATCCGAAAATATAAGAATTCTAACACTAGCTATGTACAGATATGTATTTATGCATCTTTTAGTTTTTGTCATCAAAGTGCTTATCCAACTTGGTGTTCTGGTTGTTTATCGCTCGGCCTTGTCTTGTCTGGGCCTTGAGCTTTTGTATCGTTGCAGCACTGACCTCATGAATTAATGGTTTGTGCCCGTTAATTAGCACATATTAAAGAATATTAAAAAAAATTATTTAATTACTTAAAATTTATAAAAATGAGTATTAAAATGTTTTTTAATAATAAATATTTTTATTTTTTGAAATAAAAACTCTTAACACGTATTAATATATAATATTCATTAATATATAGTTCAAGTTTTGGGATGACCATGACATGATATTAGTATTAGAGTCTTTACATATAACCACACGATTCGGTATATAGAATTTCGTGTTAAAAGGTGAAGTTCTTCTAGCAATAAAATCTACTTAAAGGAAACTTTGTAAAATACTTGTGAGCAAAGCTTAAGGTAATACTTAAATCTGTATTTAAAAAAACGTGAGTTATTTTTTTTAATATCAATACATGTATAAATTAACTTATTTTGAAAAAAAAAATTATAACATTAAAATTATTATTATTCATGAAAAGCTATTGCCAAACATGTACCTTATCCTCCAATAGCATGGGGATTGTTCAACAAATATGTGGTGTGTGTGTGTGACTAATTTAATATAATTTCCCTTTTTGACATGTGTGTCTGATTAAAAAAATGCTAATTTATATAATAACAACCAATTATATAATTATTTTAAAAGTAATACTAACAACACGCTTTTTATAATACATTTTTTATTTAATAAAATTTATTAAAAATTATAAAAATAATATGAATTTCACTATGTATTTTTTAAAATTTTTATAAATTTTAGCAGAGTATGTTAGAGAGAACATTATTAGTATTATTCTTATTTTAAACAATCAATTATTAAAGTTGTTCATAATAACATTTAACTATTAAAGTTTAATTTTTATTTTTACATTTATAAGAGAAAATTCATTTGGTATGTTGCCTACACATGAGTCATGTGTAAGTATTGTTTATTTGTGTTTTTTTTTTAAATATGTTTTGTAATTTTTTAAAAATCTAAGATAAGTAAATTAGTTTTTCAAACAGGGCAAAAACCTAAAAATGAATTTTTACAAGTTAAAAAAATACATTTTTTGATAATTATGTTTATATATGATTATTTTAGGATAAATTATTGGTTTAATTTTTAATAGTTGTTTCATGAGCTGATAAAAAAATTATTTAAAATAAATTCAACAGAATACGCACTAATTAAAAAGGGCGAATTACAAAAGTAGAACTGTTTATAAGCGAATTAGCTAAAATGCTCTCTAAATCTTTGTCTAAAATTGCCGAGAAATTGCTTATGCGAGATTAATGATGCATTAATCTCGGGTGCTTCAATGATAGATGCTTGGGCTCTGGTGATATTATATTTGATTGAACTTTTCTTCATTGCTAAATTCCAAATGTCATTGTCCAACTTTTCACACTACAACCAATACGTACGCCAGATGGCTACAGACCAACAACTTA